ACATGTACGTAATACAGAATTCAAAAGGTATAACAGAGGAGTTTGGTAAAAAATTCTCTTACCTCTGACCCTCAGCCATCTTCTTCCCTTCAGAGGCAGTTTTTTATTTTATTTTATTTTATTTAATTAATTAATTTGTTTATTTATTTTTAATCCTTTCAGAGATCCTCTATGCATGTGCAAGCAAATTGTGTGTGTGTGTATACAGACATCCACATATATACATTTTCTCAGTTCTTCCCATTACACATATGTGATAGCATAGCCTACATACTAATTTGAACACTTAATTGCTTTTTTCACTTAGTATTATATCTTGGAGTCATTCTATGTTAGCAAATAAGGAACATCTTTATCTGTTTTTTATAGCTGCGTAGTAACCCACTGTGGCTGAACCTGATTTATTGACCAGTCCTTTGTGTTGGGCTTCCCTTCTTGTATGTATGCCAGTGATTTGCATTGACGGCATTGCAGAAGTTCTCATAGTGTCTGTCTCACCTCATCATCATTGAATTTTTACTGGAGTTCTACTTTCTCATGTTGCAAATATCGGTCCATTGTGTAGAAGCTGAGAAATGATCTCCTGAATATTATTCGAGAAAAGAACTTGGCCCATCCTGTTATCCAGAACTTTTCCTATGAGACCTTCCAGCAGAAGATGCTGCGCTTCCTGGAGAGCCACTTGGACGACGCTGAACCCTACCTCCTCACGGTGCGCCTTGGCCCTTCTCCCATAACCATGGTGTGCCCTTGAGGATGTGCAAGGAATCAGAATATCCAAAGTCAAGAGGGTTGATGTGTGAAAAAGACATTTATTTGCACTAGCTTTCTTAATTAAATGCCTTAAAAATACAAAAACAGGCTGGACGCAGCGGCTCACGCCTGTAATCTCAGCACTTTGGGAGGCCCAGGCAGGTGGATTGCCTGAGGTCAGGAGTTTGAGACCAGCCTGAACAACATGGTGAAACCCTATCTCTACTAAAAATACAAAAAATTGGCTGCACATGGTGGCTTATGCCTGTAATCCCGGCATTTTGGGAGGCCAAGGCAGGTGGATAATGGGGTCAGGAGATCGAGACCAACCTGGCCAAGTTGGTGAAACCCTGACTCTACTAAAAATACAAAAGTTAGCTGGGTGTGGTGGCAGGTGCCTGTAATCCCAGCTACTTGGGAGGCTGAGGCAGGAGAATCGCTTGAACCTGGGAGGCAGAGGTTGCAGTGAGCTGAGATTGCACCACTGCACTTCAGCCTGGCAACAGAACTAGACTCCATCTCAGAAAAAAAATACGTAAATCAGCTGGGCATGGTGGCGTGCGCCTATAATCCCAACTACTGGGGAGGCTGAGGCAGGAGAATCACTTGAACTCAGGAGGGGGAGGTTGCAGTGAGCCAAGATTGCACCACTGCACTCCAGCCTGGGCAACAGAGCAAGACTCCGTCTCAAAAAACAAAACAAAGCAAAACAAAAAACAAAAGTAGAAATACTAGCAGAGGCAAATGGAACACACCTGGTCTCCCTCATCTGCCATTTTTATCTCCTTTACACATGGTTAATCTGCTGTGGCTGAAGCAGAACACTGGCTTACAATCGATGGTGGTTCCCAAAGGAGATGACTTGTGAACTAAGTTTGGAGGAAGAGGGGTTTGGTAGATGTGGTACAATGGAGTTGCTAACATGAAGAAGGCATGGTGTGCAGAAAGGTGTCACTGTGAAAATATGATAAGGTTGAAAGAAGCCAAACAAAAACATTCTTTAATTGGATTAAAGAGATAAAAGAATGGAAGCAGTGAGGCTCAGGACAGCATAGGGAAGAACTAGAACCTAGGCTGTCATAGATGGTAGACTGTGATGAAGGAACACTGATTGAGAGTGGTTTTGTTTTGATTTTGAAACCAGGAGTTTGCCCCGGTGCAGTGGGCCACACCTGTAATCCCAGCACTTTGGGAGGCTGAGGCGGGCAGGTTGCTTGAGCTCAGGAGTTCAAGACCAACCTGGGCAACATGGCAAAACCCCATCTCTACAAAAAATATAAAAATTAGTCAGGTGTGGTGGTGTGCACCTGTATTCTCAGCTGCTTGGGAGACTGAAATGGGAAGATCACTTGAGGCTGCAGTAAGCTGTGGTCGTGCCACTGCACTTCAGCCTGGGTAAAAGAAACAAGGACTTTGACAATGTTTTAAATATTCTGTCTCATAACACTAGATCTGCCAGGCCCATATTAGGTTAGTGTCAATGATCTTAGCAGTCATTTGGTAAATCTCAGATAGTTTAAAAGCAAGTGGTTTGGGGTATTCAGGGAGCAGATGTCAAGATAGTTGAGCCTGGCCTAGGATCCTTTCCTTTCCATTCCAGGTAACTGGGAAATGTCCTGCCGCTGTCTGTATGTGTGGACAGAACTCTTGGCTCTTAGGACACCATACATGACAGATAAACATAACTGAAACTGAATGACACTGGACTGATTGGAAATGTCTAAAACTTAAGTGAGAGGGAAACAGATGAACAGTTGGAGTTAGAGCAAGACTAGCCTGGCCGGGCGCGGTGGCTCAAGCCTGTAATCCCAGCACTTTGGGAGGCCGAGGCGGGTGGATCACGAGGTCGAGAGATCGAGACCATCCTGGTCAACATGGTGAAACCCCGTCTCTACTAAAAATACAAAACATTAGCCGGGCGTGGTGGCACGTGCCTGTAATCCCAGCTACTCAGGAAGCTGAGGCAGGAGAATCGCCTGAACCCAGGAGGAGGCGGCTGCAGTGAGCCGAGATCGCGCCATTGCACTCCAGCCTGGGTAACAAGAGTGAAACTCCGTCCCAAAAAAAAAAAAAAAGACTAGCTTACTCAGGGCTCTTTGTGTTATATAGGTAAGGATTCTCAAACAGTTGTTAATAAGGAAACCATTTGCAGAAACAGTGTTATAAAAATTCTATACACAAACTGAAAGATACTAGTATAAACATTTATTGCTGGGCACGGTGGTTCATACCTATAATCCCAGCACTTTGGGAGGCCCAGGCGGGCAGATCACTTGGTGTCAGAAGTTCAAGACCAGCCTGGCCAACATGGTGAAACCACAGCTCTACCAAAATACAAAAATTAACCAGACATGGTGGCGGGCACCTGTAATCTCAGATTCTTGGGAGGCTGAGTCGGGAGAATCACTTGAACCCAGGAGGTGGAGGCTGCAGTGAGCTGAGACCGCACCACTGCACTCCAGCCTGGGTGACAGTGAGACTCCCTCTCAAAAAAATTTATTAGTTATCCTAAGTTTGAAGAAAAAACTTGACTTATAAGCCTTATAAGTTATCTCCCATTTTATGCCCTTGGTTTTATGCCTAGATTGGTTTTGTAAGTGTACTTGTTTGCATATTGAGTATATTCATGGTAAAAGAAGCAGAGAATTAATGCAATTCTCTGGCCTCTTCTTCCTGATGACATCCTTCCTTTCCCAGATGGCCAAAAAGGCTTTGAAATCTGAGTCTGCTGCCTCAAGTACGGTAAAGGAAGATAAACAGCCAGCACCAGGGCCTGTGGAAAAGCCACCCAGAGAACCCACAAGGTGAGAAGATGATCTCCCGTGATCTTGTGTAAAACACGAGTGGTCGCTGGAAGCAGTCTCTCCTCCTTAGGGCAGGATCAGTTCCTCTTGGCGATCTGACCTGCTAACGTGTTACGAGTTTACTCATACAGGGCACTGTGGGACACAGCATACCCTGGGAAGATGAGGAGACAGGACGCCTGGGGTCCCTGACAACTTCCTGATTGGCTGTTCCTCAAAGGCTCTTTCACCATTTCTCTCTTCTTACCTTGCCTATATTCATTCACTACGTCTTTGTGGACACCTAATCTCTTAATACATTCAAGAACCAGTGTTTAGATCTGTGAGTCCAATCCCAAGACCAGTTCCTAAACCAGGGGTCACAAGTTTAGATGCCCTTTGAGGGCCTGGTAGGAAACCTAAAGGAACAAAGTGGACCTAGGCTGAGAGCATGGGGCTGGGAACCAGGGGATGTGCTTTTCAGCTTCTTGTGGTTGCTCTGTGGGAGTGTCCAAGGGTACTCAGACTTCAGGTGCTCATATTTTTGTATGAGGTGTCCAAGTTTTTCTGTGAGAGTTCCCAATTTTTGGATGTTGACAGTTGATCCGCTTTCTAAAAAATTGTTTTCATGAGGGTTAGACAACAAGACAGCCTGCCAGCTGGATTTGGCCTGCAGGCTGCCAGTTTGCCCCATTCCTAACAATTTTTCCCTAAAGCATGCTAACTGCTCCAAATGATAGATGAACTTTATTTTTAAAAGGCAATTTCTCATTGTTCCAAGGCATGTGGCATGCCTTTTACTCTGAGAATTCTCAAGATCCTGTTTATAAGTGTGTTGTAGGCCAGGTGTGGTGGATCATGCCTGTAATCCCAGCACTTTGGGAGGCCAAGGCGGGCAGATCACTTGAGCCTAGGAGTTCTAGGATACAATGAGCTGTGTTCGTGTCACTGTATCCTATCTCTCAGTCCTGTCTGTAGTCTAGGACAGAGCCAGACCCTACCTCTAAAAATAAAATAAGTAAAATAAATGTTCTCTAACTTGGAGTTTTAAATTCATAATACTACTTACATATTACATTTAAAGCCTCTACTTACACTCATTGTGAATAAAGGCTTTTCTAAATAAAGGTTGTGTCAAGCCAGCCTCCCTCTCTCCTTTTTTTTAAGTGGAGAGTCCTCACCTGGAGAAGTCCTCTATCTAACTTGAAGCTTCAAACTTCAAAAAAGTTGTGGCTGTTTGGATGAGCATCACCAGTGGTGAAAAAGATCTTTGTGCCTGTGCTTTATTTGCAGGCAGCTACGGAATACTGCAACCACCTTTGGAATGGCGACTCTGAAGGCAGCTTTCAAGACTCTGTCCGGTACACAGGATTCTGAGGCAGCCTTTGCAAAACTGGACCAGAAGGATCTGGTTCTTCCTACTCAAGCTCCCTCAGCATCACCAGCCCTCAAAAACAAGAGACCCAGAAAAGATGAAAACGGAAGTTCAGCCCCTGCTGAGGGTGAGGGTGGCTCAGAACTGCAGCCCAAGAACAAGCGCATGACAATAAGCAGATTGGTCTTGGAGGAGGACAGCCAGGTTACTGAGCCCAGCACAGGCCTCAACTCTTCCCAGGAGGCTGTTCCAGCGCTGCCATCCAAGCCCACCGTTCTCAACCAACCCCTCCCTGGAGAGAAGAATCCCAAGTATGAAGACCTTCTTTGTAGAAATTTTGGGGCTGGTTGGTGGTCCTGGTTGGGCCTGGTATTACTTCCGTGAATGAAGTAACTTTCAGCTAAGTTACTCACCACCAAGGCTTGCTCAGACTGCTAGAATGTGACGCAGGAGCGGGCAGTGACAACGTAGCCATCTCTGCCAGTTCTGAAGCCCCACATGTGGGCTTCCAAGCCTTGCACTAGGGCATGAGTGGGGATGGAAAGGTTTCAGAGCCTCCCACTCATCGCTGCTTTCATTTTTAGCAAACATCTAAGTGTCTTGACTTCTAAACATTAGTCTTGTGTGTTAAAAGAAATTTGTTTGCATTGGGCCACATTATACTTTGACCCTTAAAAAGAGACTGATTAATATGTATAATTTTGTACCTTTCTCAGCATTTGAGACTTGGCAAGTTCAGTAAATATTTACTAATCTCCCATATTCTGCTAGGTACTGAGGGGCAGTGGCTAGAGTACTTTAATTTTGCTTCCCATCGTGATTCCCATCCTGGCTTTGAGTTTTGCTTCCCTCTCTGTCCTGTGGTGGATCCTTCCTCCAGGCACACTGGCCTGCTTGCTCTCTGGAACACATTGTTTGTTTCTTTCACTGTACTTTTGCTTCCTCTCATTTCCCACAGTGGACCGTCATCCCTCCCTCATTGCTTGTCCAATCCCATTTGTCCTTTAAAGGGAAGAAAAGCCATTGTTAATGAGGTGCTTTCTGGGGGCATAGCACTTTCATGTATCATCTTACTGAGCCTCTACAGTCCTCACTCTTTGAGGTGATATATTAGCCCCATTACACAGAGGAGAAGAGCTCAGAAAGGTTCTTAGCTCACCTGAAGTCATGCTGCTAGAAGTGGCAAAGATGGGCTTTGGGATTTTTAATCCAAGTCAGTCTTGACAGAAAAGCCCATGGCCTGCATATCATGTACACAAGTTGCCGCTCTTGAAATTCTCCCTCCTCAGGCTGGGTGCTGTGGCTCACGCCTGTAAGTAATCCGAGCACTTTGGGAGGCCAAGGCAGGCGGATCACTTGAGGTCAGGAGTTCAAGACCGGCCTGGCCACCATGGTGAAACCCCGTCTCTACTAAAAATAGAAAAATTAGCCAGGGCTGTAGTCCCAGCTACTGGAGAGGCTGAGGCAGGAGGATCACTGGAACCCGGGAGGCAGAGACTGCACAGTGAGCCAAGATTGAGCCACTGCACTCCAGCCTGGGCAGTGGGTTGTTACTCTGTCTCAAAAAAAAAAAAATTCTCCCTCCTCCATAGACTCTTCCCTGGTCAGCATTTCCTTGCTTTAAGTGATCTACCTCCTGGATCTCCCAAGACCACCTGTGCCGCTGCTCCATGTTACATTATTTGGGGATGTGTGCTCTGGCATGCATTGTACTCAGTGCCTCAAAGGGCTATGGCATCTGATAAGCGATTTATCCTCAGGCATAGATTTGTACTATGTCACCACTACTTGCATTTGGAAGTGAGTACCGGCTGGCAAATGGGCATAGCTGCTGGGCAGCAGATGCAACTCCACACACGCTATTCTCATTTGATACAGGATCTCATGAGCTTCTCACAGCAATCTTATGTAGTGTAGGGATTGCTCCCAGGAACAGATAAGGACATGGGAGAGTGTAGGATTACTGTAATTTTGTAAATGGGAGGATTCTTGAAGGTTTCAGACATACACTCTTTCTTATATGTCAAGGATATGAAGTCTAATGAGTCCTCTGAAGCAGTAGGGGTTGGCAAGCTATGGCCCTGAGGCCAAATCTGCCTGTTTTTGTAAATAAAGTTTTATTGGAACACAGTCACACCCATCATCGATGTGTTATCTAGGGCTGCTTTCTGTTGAGTGGTGGTTTCTTGAGTAGTCGCAACAGAGACAGTGAAGTTTGCAAAGTGAAAATATTATGTGGCCCTTTACAGAAAAAAAGGGGCCGGTGTCCCTGCTTTAAAGATATATGTGTGAGGTGCCCCGGGTGCTTACAGGAAGAAAAGCTCAGCCTACTCAGCAAGATTTTAGGTGGCTCAGATCTTGTAAAATAACAAACATTGAGCAGACCTGGGAAGGATGAGCAGAAGATCGTCGACCATGTTATGGGGTGGAGGACTCTAGGCAGTGGCAACTCCTTACATACAGGCATGAGAAAACCTGCTGTGTCCCTCAGAGTGCCATGGAGTCTATGGTAGGAGAATACGGTGTACAGGAAAGAGTGAAGGGAGGAGAGTCTGCATACTAGATGGGCCAGGCCTGGGATTTCTGTCTAGTATGTCAGGCAGAGGCTCTCAAGCTGGGCTTCGTGACTCAGTGACCTGTGGAATGTTCAAAAAGTACATATTCCCAGGCTTCTGGCTACTGAACTAGAAGAGGCCGACAGCTGTTTAATCTGCTTTTCTATGTCTGCCTAGATAATTCTAATACAGTAAATTGGAAGGCCTGATGAGACACCACTGAAGGAACAGAGAGAGGGAGGGAGGCTGGAGACTGCTGCCAAGGAGCAGTGACGGGTGGTGGGATCAGGAAGGAAGGCAGGGTTGGGGGTGTCACCTGGAGGACAGGGCCCCCATGCCCCGATCTTGTGTATCCCACAGCACCTTGCACATAACACATGCTTACTAGGTATTTATTCACCAAAAAAGGATTCTTTGTTCTTGCATTTTAAGGAGTGACAGCCAAAATATCTGTAAAAAGCCAGTAGAGGCTAACATTTTAGGCATTGTCGGCCACATGAGTTGTCTGTTGCATATTCTTTTCTTGTTTTTTTCTTTCCTTTTTTTTTTTGAGACAGTTTCATTTTGTCGCCAGGCGCTAGGCTGGAGTACAGTGGCACAATCTCAGCTCACTGCAACCTCTGCCTCCCGGTTTCAAGTAATTCTGCTGCCTCA